TGGCGCCTCCCGACGGAGGCCCCGGGGCTCCCGGTGAGGCCCACGGAGCCGCGGAGGCTCCCGGGGGCGGGACGGGCCCCGGGGGGATCCCGGGAGCCCAAAGAGGATCCCAGGAGCCCCAAGGGGATCTCAGGAGACCCAAGGGGATCCCGGGAGCCCAAAGAGGATTCCAGGAGCCCAAAGAGGATCCCAGGAGCCCAAAGAGGACCCAAGGAGCTCCAAGAGGACCCAAAGAACCCCAAGACGATCCCAGGAGCTCCAGGAGGATCCAAGGAGCCCAAAGGGGATCCCTGGAGCCCAAAGGGGATCCCAGGAGCCCCGGAAGGATCCCAGGAGCCCCAGCAAGACCCAAGGAGCATCCACAGAGCCCCAGGAGCATCCAAGGATCCCAGGAGCCCCAGGAGGACCCCAGGAGCTCCAGGAGGATCCCAGGAGTCCGAAAAGGATCCCAGGAGCCCAAAGAGGACCCCAAGAGCCCAACGGGGATCCCAGGAGCATCCAAGGAGCCCAAAGAGGATCCCAGGAGCCCCAGGACAATCCCAGGAGCCCCAGGAGGCCCCCGGGAGCCCCAGGAGGATCCCAGGAGCCCGAAGAGGATCCCAGGAGCCCCAGAAGGACCCAAGGAGGATTCCAGGAGCCCAAAGAGGAACCCAGGAGCCCCAGGATGATCCCAGGAGCCCCAGGTGGATCTGTGGAGCCCCGGGCGGATCCCAGGAGCTCTGGGACAATCCCAGGAGCCCCAGGAGGACCCAAGAGCATCCAAGGAGCCCAAAGAGGATCCCAGGAGCCCCAGAAGGATCCCAGGAGCCCAAAGAGGGTCCCAGGAGCCCCGGGAGGACCCAAGGAGCCTTGGGAAGACCCAAGGAGCCCAAAGGGGATCCCAGGAAGCCCGGGGAGGATCCCAGGAGCCCCGGGACAATCCCAGGAGCCCCAAGAGGATCCAAGGAGGATCCCAGGAGCCCTGGGATGATCCCAGGAGCCCCAGGAGGACCCAAGGAGCTCTGAGAGCATCAAAGGAGCCCCAAGATGATCCCAGGAGCCCCAGGTGGATCCGTGGAGCCCTGGGACGATCCCGGGAGCCCCAAGAGGACCCAAGGAGCCCTGAGAGCATCAAAGGAGCCCAAAGATGATCCCAGGAGCCCCAGGACAATCCTAGGAGCCCCAAGAGGACCCAAGGAGCCCAAAGGGGATCCTAGGGGCCCCGGGATGATCCCAGGAGCCCCGGGACGATCCCAGGAGCCCCAGGACGATCTCAGGAGCCCTGAGATGATCCCAGGAGCCCCGGGAGGATCCGAGGAGCCACAGG